GGGAAATCACGGCTGATGCTACTTCTCACTCGTTCTACAGTTTCTTGTCTTGAGTCATAACTATAAGGGTTTACATGTTAAAAGTCAACTTTAAGTTCAAAATATAAGTAAAAGAAAAAAATAATGATACTTTTTAAAATTATGCCAGAGATAGCCAGTTTGGTCCTTAATAACACGAATGAAAACTGTGATATTGCACGAATCATTCTCGATTAGAGGACGATTTTGGTTTTCCATTGGAACAAACAAATTGCGCTGTTCGCAAAAATTTGTATATCCCCAAGTCAATTCTTCAGCATTAAAACGGGTTTGTGAAGCTATAAGTAAAAATCAATATATTAGCAACAAGACTTATTAAAATTACAAAATGAAATAGTTCTCATATGTACTGTAAGAATGATATATTGTTGGATCTTCAGGATTCCAAAAGGTCAAAGCAAATTGTGCACAGATATGCCAATCATTAGGTGCTCCATGATTTACAGGATTCAGGTAAATTGATACATAATCAATATTATCATCTCCAAAAGGATAAAGCAAAATACGCCTAGATTTTAGTCTTATAAGAAAATATGATCATATGTATTTATATATAGATTAGGTATAAATAAGCCTACCATCTGCAACCTCCAGCAATAAATTCAGGACTTATCACCCTCGCGTCCAAATTTCTCCAACCAGTGATTTGCCACGTGTAATGCTGGAAATCTTCAATCTCATAACCAAGATTTGGCATTTTATTATTTGCGAAGTTTTCATCTGAAGAATATGAATATAATTTAGTATAGTAACACATAAAGTTATAAGGCATTATCTTAAGACTAGTTTTCAAACATACAATCTGACACAGCTAAATCAGACATTTCTATAGAATCTATTTTAACAAGATAAATACGTATGCGTAAAAATTTATTAAGTTTATTATTGTGAGAATTGCAAAAACCTAATTAATACGTAGTGTGCCTTATTTATACCGCTGTACTGTAACAATTAATTTCACAAATCGGTGTATCCCAAAAAAATCGGAGTATCCTCAAATTATTAAAAACCTTATTTAGGGTTGCGTCGGTTCTACAAAAGACCAGACCGTGAAGTAGTACCCTAGCTAAAATTAGATACAGTCACATTTTGATTGGAAAAAATCGATACTAAATGTAAATAATAATAAGGCATACCTTAGATATGTGTCAAGTTGTGGTACATTAATTAGCCAACGTAACAATAATAAGATTATAATTTTAACTAGCAAATGTTACATGTTGCGGGTGACTTCGTCACCCACTTTCAATTATTAGTTTAATTGTCAATTGACTTTTTAATGTATCTAGTATATGATCAGAATGGCGCTTCACTGGGTGTACTATGTAACTATACCTTTTTTTTTTAGATACGTAGAGATCGATAAGTAATTTTATAATAATTACTATAAAATTTTAAATAGACATACGGCCCTAACGGTTTGATAGTTTTGGGTAGAATTTCACAAAGACCAGAATTACGTTTTTACAAAGTTAGTCATTTTTCTAAAAGAAACTAAATTAAGCACTTTTTTTTTTTTGTCCTTTAAGAAAAAATAACATAAGAAATTAAAGAAATAGCTCTATAGCTTTAGTGTAGAGAAATAATACTGCTTTTATGAAATTTTATCCAAAACTATCGACCTGTTAAAGCTGTGTATATATTTAAAATTTTTGATAATTATTATAAAAATTGTTACCTATTTAAAAAAAACATGGTTTATAGTTTTGATTTACATAATAAAATTAAAAAAACCTGATTATCAAATTACTTCGTTATGGCTCTTTCACTAGTTTCTTTGATGATCAGTGATTATCTATTCATCATACCAGAAAATCGTTAGAAAAAAACCAAAAGTGTGAAAAAGCTCAAAAGGTAAAAACAAACCTAAATTGGAAGACATATAAGTGCAAAAAGGATGCTTTTTTTTTTACTAGAATTTAAACGTTTTAATCGATTCTAAATTTTTTTTTCTCCGCCATACATAGTATCGTATACGAATCGTATACATATAAATGGCACTTTTATAGATTTAAAGGAAATTTTGGCCGTCGATATTATGCACAAATGTGATACAGAATGCAAAAAACAGTAAAAAAATAAATAGCGATAGCAAAGAATATTACACTGCATGAACAAATTGGGTAAATAGAACTTAAATTTCAACATCAGATACAATGAAAAACTCAAGATTAGAAAACCATTAATAACGATAATTCTAAAAAGTTCATGAAACTGCATACTTACAAACTTAATATTGATAAGCCGTTTCTAATCTAATTACTATCGAAAACTTAATCCTAATATAACAGTAAAAATAGTTTATTGAATTATTTTGATTGGAACTATTGATTAGGTGTCAATCAAAATTATTACATGATTTAGTAAACCTATGAGTCTGTTATATGATAATTTATAGTACTGTAGCACAGACGTAAGGACGTGCCCTAATGCTAGTAATGGTTGAGTTAGTGATTTCTGTAGTGAATGAGCTAATGATCTTAACGATGAATGGTTCATAATTTAATAGTAGGTAATTCATGATTTTAATAGTAGGTGATTTAATTATTTTAATAGTAGGTGATTTAATTATTTTAATGGTGTGAGTTCATGATTAATAGTGTGATGCATTCAAAATTTAACAGTAGATGGGTTCACATAAGAAATAATTTTAACAATAAATGGCTTCGTAATTTTAACAGTAGGTTTGTTCATGATTTTAACGGCAAGTAGTTTAATGGGTTTACGATTTTAATGAATTATTTGGCATGGCTGACAAACATTAATTTAAATATTTGAACATTATGTGAATCCTCAGCATTTATGTTCTTGAGATATAATGCTTAGAAAACTTCAAGGTTTACTAAAAATTGCGATTTCACAACTTATTATTAATATTTGCTATTACCAATGCTTATTTCGTTTTTAAATTTGACTTAAATATTTTATTTAGAGTTTACAGCACCCATTTTATTCTTAAATCATTGAATAAGATAACTGGCGCTTCGTGCCATTCATCGCGGTAGTCATTATTCACTACAATACTTTGCTCACGTGAAGTTTGAGACTTTTACTTCAAAAAAAAAAACATCATTAGCATTTTAAATCCCATAAATACTATTATCATAAATAGCCTATAATTAAATTTGGTAAAACATTCAAACTCATTCGATCGTCTCTAAATTATAATTTTATTAGTTTTTGGATAGGCTTAACAATGAAAAATTTTTTTTGCCTATTTTAAGTTCGCTCTAATATAAAGTTGGTGTAACAGTGTTTACAATATAAATAAACAACCAATAAAATCGAATTTCGTCATCGTATGTTAAGTACGAACATACGTACGTACGTACGTTAGTACAATTTAAAAACTGCAAGAGGGAAGAAGTTGCTGCACATGTGATATCGCTAGTTTCTTAATATAAAAACTTCAAATTTACATAAATTTTATGCTACGGGAAAAGTTTTTTTATCGTTGAAATTTTTAATGACATTTTCCATTTTTTGAATATGTATGAAACTTGATTCAATGCTTTAAAAGTTTTTTTCACCATGAAAGATTATTAGACATTTCAAGATAATCAAATGCCTGAGACAATAATAACATTATAATTATATCAATGTATATTCATTTAAACAAACAAAAAAGTTTATACCTTGTAGTTTTCTTGCATCTCTCGCTATCTTCAGTATTTGACTTCTCATCCTCATATATATTTTGGTTTTCTGACTTTGCCAATTCGATCGTTAAATTGACTTGTGCATAAGTTATTAGACTCGACATTTGGATGTTTTCTTATTCTCCGTACCGTATCGTCGCGAAATAACGCCCCGGGCGTTATTTCGAGATAAAAATTTTAAAACGAGTTAATAATTAATTTTTCCGAAGTTTTTTTTTTTAACTTTAATATTAAATAAAGTAAATATTAAAGATTAAAAAAATTATATCGGAAAAT